TATATATATATTATGCCAAATCTCATACTAGAACTGAGATAAACAATAAATAGGGGGCTCTCGTGGCCTAGAGGTTAAGGTGTTCGCCTCTCATTCAAAGGTCCCGGGTTTGAATCCAGGTAGCGACCGAAAAAAATTTTCTTCACTTAAATTGTCTCCTTTCACCTCCTTCCCTGTTCTCTGGCAATGTTCTGTCGTCTGCTTTTGTCTCCATTTTCTGCCCCCACCCCCTCACCTCCTTTGCCCCCTCCTCTGGGCTCTTGACTCTTTCTGCAGCCTTTCTACTGCTTCTCCTTGGCTCCTTCTTATTGCTGTCTTTCAGCTACTCCCCTGATTTTCTGGTAGGAAAGATCTACACCTAGCCTTCTCGGACAAGAGCGAAAAATCTCGGAGGTCCCGTGTGCAAGTTGCGCACATTAAAGATCCCTTGGCGGTCTAAAATCGATAAGAGTAGGCTTCGGCCGCCACCCAGGCAAAATTCCAAATTTACTACCGACTGAAAATGTTTAATGTGTCCCCCGCGCTCATAATTATGACCTTTTGCAGTTGAGTGCGCCGTAAAACACTTACCAAAAAATCACCCCAAAAAATCCCAATAAATATGAAGACTTTAACAGATTCAGTCCACAAATACTTTTGACTCTGGACGCAAATAATGTTTGATCACTTCATGACATCCCGTGTGGTTTCACAATAAGTTGAAAAAGAAATATATAAATTTGATAAAAAATCCCTATGTGTGGCATATATAGATGTTCAGAATAAAAAATACTATTCAAATACACCAGAAAAAAGGGCTGAACTTTAAGTGGTAAGGACAAAAAGAAGAGAGGAAAGTGGTGTGAAGAAAGGAAGCAATATTTAAGAGCCGCTCTGAGTGACCCTGATTCAAAACACAGGAGACAGTCAGTCACTGTTAGCGGCACTGCGGGCTAAATCAGTCAAGAAAGACAAGACAATTTTTTTTTTTTTTTTGTAGTAGGGGGTTTTACGGCGCTCACAACTGCATAAGGTCATAAGAGCGCCAAGGGGTGGGTGTCAACAGAGAAGTCTTTACAGGGAATCAGACTTAGACTGTTCACCTCTCTAGCTTCAACAGCACAAGGTCTGCTTTGATTATCAAGGCACCCCGGAAATAGCAGGTCACATACAAAAGAAGTAGAGGAAAATGACAATAGTAAGGATCAGGAAAGAAAAAGCAACAGTTCCCTTTTGTAGATCAGGCACAGTTATGAGCGTGACATGAGTCAGCCCATTTACAATTCTACTATGCTTGAACGAGAAATGTTCCCCCCTTTGGGAATGGCCTTAAGACACTACAGTCAGTGGCACTGCCCCGGCGGGAAATTTTTATTTGAGAAGTCCAGGTCCACTAGCACTGTGATACTATTTGATCATGCAGGTCGAAGGGCTTGAAAGCTTTTCCTAGGACAACAACAACAAGGTAACAAATTTTGGGGGGTGTTTCTAACAGCCTAAACCTGAGTGTAAATTGTAGCCATTTTCCAAATCAGGTCATAACTTACGTTCAGACCAAATGTCAGATAAAATGTGCCACGACTGGGTGGAATCAGGCACTCATCAATTTTTGGGCATGTGGAGTAAAGAGTTATTGGCAGAGATGGGGGTCGCCTGTTTTCAGACATAAAATTAGAGAGAAAATGGCCGCCAAAACTTGGTTATTTTCATGGCTTGAGAGTCAGTGGAAAGTGAAACATTTACATTTTTATGCCCTTAATCATTGTATTTCAGTAAAAATCCAAGCAAAAATATGTTCTTTAATGGACATAAAAGGTGTTGGGCCAAAAAACTAAAATTCGATAAAAATTGCGAAACCGCCGGAAAAATGCTAGTTTCTTCAGTTTTACAGTTTTGGTGAGCACCTGATTTAACGACGCTGCCTCACAAATGTTTTATTTCTACTTTTCCGATCCAGATCTTCTTTACTTTACTTTTCCGATCAAGGTTTTTATTTCTACAAATGTACAACTACAAAAAAACGCTCACTTGATGTGTGTACGGGTGATATGACTGGAACAGTTCAGAGACTGCCTTAGTCCTCTTCTTGACCTGAAAGAAACAAAAATAATATTGGTTATAATGAATACATTTTTAAAAAACCCCAATGTTGGTTATAATGAATACATGAAAAAAAAATTTTTAAATGTTGGTCATGATGAATACAATGTACATAAGTATGACTATAGAAACGTTTTCAAGCAGCTCATTGGACCTTATACTTCATTTCTTTCTAGATACTTTCTCCAATAGGCATAACCTAAGCATTACAATTTCTAGAGACCACACACTTCGAAAGGGTACTCTCGTGGCCTAGAGGTTAAGGTGTTCGCCTCTTATTCAAAGGTCCCGGGTTCGAATCTGGGTAGCGACTGAAAAAAGTTCTTCTCTAAAATTGCCTCCTTTCACCTCCTTTCCTGCTCTCTTGTAATGTTCTGTCATCTGCTTCCGTCTCCACTTTCTGCCCTCACCCCTTCACCTCCTTTGCCCCCTCCTCTGGGCTCCTGACTCTTTCTGCAGCCTTTCCACTGCTACTCCTTGGCTCCTTCTTACTGTTGTCTTTCAGCCACACCCCAGATTTTCTGGTAGGAAAGATTTACACCTAGCCTTCTGCATTTGATGTGCTACAGCGAAAGAGCAAAGAAAAGTGATCTGAATTGCCTCGATTTCACCGAAATCATGCGCTTGAAAGTCCGCGAGTCGGCTTACGTGCCGCGTTTCCGCTTCATAATTATACGTTTGCAATAGCACTATAAACACACAAGCCTCTTGGTAAGGAGTCCACCTTGGGAGATCTAGAGGAAGATCTATCTTTTAAAAAAACCCCACTAAAACACAATAAAAACGAACTTTTAAAGTCAATCGAAGCGTAAAACTGAAAGATCAACAGCCAACAACCGAGCTAGCACGGCATGTTTACACAGTCAGATGATTACATAAACAAGCTTGAAGTGGGCTAGGAGTTACCGTTCTTACCCCGTTTAACTTATCAGAGCCCTCAGCCATTCATAGTGATGCTAAGTTGTTTATATTTCAGACCATTCATGCTCGAAAAGGGGTCTAAATTAAAAAAAATAGGAGCGAACGAAGGACGTTGAAGCAATGTGGCCATGAGGTAATGGTTCCATAAATAATCTCACAGCTACACACCAGCAGGTCAAATGTTCAAAGGGGTCTGCGGTCCAAATTCCTTTATCTTGTCACCAAAGTTAACAACAAACCATACACACAAAAATTTTATTTATAGCCAGCTACAGTTGTTAATCTTGATCTTAAATGAAGCAGAAGACATTCAGCTTTCAATATATCCAAAAAGGTCCCATCCAAAAAACAAAAAATTCCTGGAAAGTCACTTTTAAGCCTTCCGAGCCTCGTAGCGCCAAAATAGCACATTGCGTCTTTCGACTGATTATGACTGAGGCGGACAGATATAAAAACCATCCCCATAGCACCATTGGAGGTACTGAGCCAAAGTAAATAGACCATGAATGGAGCAAGGTGGTTTGTTTTTTGTTGGGGGGGTTGGGGTTTTTTTTGAGTAAGAGTTTAATGGCACTTGCAACACAATAAGGTAAGGTCATATAAGCGCAGAAGATTAAAGGTGTTACAAGAGAGTAACAAACACAAAAATGAAGGAGGAGAGATCATGACGATGGATGTTTGATAGGAAAGAAGGAGCAAACCACACCAGAGCACCCACCAACCACCCACAGGTGTTTCGTTATCCACCAAAGGTTAACTTTCTCACCTCCTGAGCAGGAATTCTCTGCATGTTATAGGCTGGCGTCCCGGGCCTTGGAAAGAACTGGTTAATAAATAGACTTGCAAACTTGTATTGCTTGACCAGAGCCATAGTTTCTGCAAAGTCCTGAAGAGGCAAAAATGTATACAATTTTAAAACAACACAAGCATTCAAACATTCAAATACTCACTAACAATTCCAAGTAGAGATGAAACAGAAGAACAGCAAATTGAAGATTCAGAGAAGGAAACTACCTCTTTTTAATAATGTTGTTTATATCCCGCAAATATTATGAATGAGTGCTAGAAGAAAAACTACTTCCATATTCTGCACTAAACGACACACCTACAAAGCAAGATGGTTTCCCACTCACCTCATCAGTTTCTGTTGGGAATCCACAGATGAGGTCAGTTGCCACATTGACACCAGGGACTCTGGACAAAAAACACAGAAGGAAACACATCAATGCTGACATAGCAAGTAATCATTGTTCTAAGATTGACAAAGACAGATAGCTCAGACAACAGCTAAATGAAAAGAATGAAAAAGAAAGCATTCATGCATTTACATGTTCACAAGTACGTCTAAGGAGAACAATATAATTCTATGACCTGCATCTCCTGCACATAACAACAGAAACCTTTTACAAACGTATAAACAGAGTGGCAGGGGGGAAGCAACCTTCCAATTTGCATTCAGTTGCCAGCAAAACCTTCTCATTCAACTGCAGATAATAATAACAATAATAATAATAATAATAATAATAATTATAATAAATATGACATTTATGTAGCCCTCTACTACGATTAAAGTACACAGGCTCTGAGCGCTTTAAAATACAATACAATGTAAAACAGTAACATATAACGTGTTCTGACCAAAAGAAAATCACTCCAAATATTCATCTTATTAATTTAGAAGGAGAAATGACTTTAAAAAGAAAGTAGTAGGGAAATATTACTTGAGTGGATGAGAAGAACAGTGTTTTACGGCACTCGCAACACAATAAAGTCATATAAGTGCCAAAGATTAGAGGTGATATAAGAGAGTAACAAACACAAAAAAAGGAGGGGAGATAAGGAAGATAGATGTTTGATAGGAAAGAAGAAGCAAACCACACCACAGCACCCGCCAACCACCCATAGTTATCAGTGGGAGCCAAAGAGAAGCACTTCCACAAAATAACTGTCATTTTGTGCAGGGGAAAAAAACAAGAAGAGAGACCAGACAGTTTAGTTTTAGTAGGGGTTTTACGGTGCTCGCAACTGCATAAGGTCGTATTAGCGCCCCAAGCAACACCTTCTTTACTCACTTTTCCCTAAGGAAATCTACCACGTGCTTGAAGTCGTCCACGCAGTACTCTCGCCTCATGTCCATGAGAACACTGTCCGACGCTGACTGGACGGGGACGTGAAGGAACGAGTACACTCGGGGGTGGCACAGAATCTTGGCCATTTCCTGGATAGATAGAAGAGTAATATGTGAAGCGTGCTAAAAAAATTAGTTACTTCTCGGATTCAAGCCTGATGGAAATAGATACCTCATGCCTATAGGTGAAGTTTTTAAAATTTAAAAGTATGAAATAATAAAAGGCATGTTATAGTTAAGAATATGACATCGATAGAAATTCTACAAATTTGTCCCGAGAGTCGATTTTTGGCCAATATCTCCATCTGTGGATAGCGAGAAGTAACTCATTTTGTCAGCACGTCTCAAGGTGACATAGAATCTTGGCCATTTCCTGGATAGATAGAAAAGTAATATGAGATTCATGAACAAAAAAGAAGTGGATTACATAGCCTACATACATAACTACTTGATATTATGCAGAGGGAATG